CATGAAAACTGGAGAAAAAAAAAAAAAAAAAAAAAAATCAATGCAAATGGCCAAATCCCAAGAGAGCCAGGCCTGCGGGCGAGTGCTTGGCGGGCACCATTACCGCTCCGGATTCAGCTGTTTAGCAGGCTGTGCGAGGCCACGGGCTAATGTGCATAAGGGGAGCAGGCCGAGGCTCCTGGCTGGGTTCTCGCCCTGTTCCAGCGCTCGCATCCCGCAGTTTTACACAGAAGAACCTACAGGTAACCAAAGCAGTTGACCGAGTTTTAGCCAGGAAGCATCATACTAAACGTAAACAGACAAAGCAACTTTTTAGACAATGACGTACTTCCGGAACGCTAACGAGCCCCACTTTAATTTCCTCTGCTGACCTCCCAAAGCTTTCCTCTACTATCGGAAGCAGAAATAGTTAAAGACTTTTTTTTGGGGGGGGGACCCCATTGGTACAACATTTCTAAATTGTCTCTTCAGAGATAAATGTAATTATTCTTATACCTTGTGGGAAGGGCACTAGGCATGGAATGAAAAGGCCACGAGCTCAGTGCGCGGAGCCCAGGCCGAGGGTGCGGGTAGCAGACTTCTGAGCAGGCTCCAGTGCCAGGCACTGCGATGCCCCCACGCAAACCCCGCCGTCCTGTAGACACTTCTCCCTGGGCTCCCTAGAGGCCAACCTGACATCTGATTAGAGTTGCTTGTACACATTTACTTTGTCAAACTCTTTCTTCGATGCAAACAGGGCCTGGAAGGCAGAGCATTTCCTCCATCGGGGGTGGGAGAGGTCTAATTATTAGCTGTCAGCCTCCCTGGAAGAGGGGACAAGCTGGTCAAGCGGGGGAGCAGGGCGCGGGGCACAGGGAGCTGGGCCTTCTATTTGTTTTGTAAAATTGCCCAAGAGAGTCATTGTGATTTAAACTATGTCACTTTCTTCATTACAGGGCAGAGGCAGAAGGACAAGAGGACAATATGATGGGAAGGTCTGTAATTTGTGTGACTAGTTGAAATTTGGGGTCTGTCACCTGATGTCCCTTTCTTTGGCTGCAGGGCAAAAGTATGGGAGGCTGCTTGACAGCTAGACATGGCAACCAAAGTTCTGCGCTTCCTTTATAAGAGAAATTAGACCATGTTTTCAGAACAAGCCATGGTTAAAGTAAAAAGCCTCTTTTTTCTTCTGTTTGGACTATTGCAGTCTTAAGTTCAAACACGTAATCGAGTGTTCTCAGAACTTGACTGAATGACATCACCCTCAATCAAAAAAGGAAATAAGATATGAAAAGCTTAAGTTGTCCCCCTGCATGTGCTTACACTTGTGCACATGTGTACGTGTACGCACATGTGTGTGCACACACACATACACACTGCACGAATGATGTGGCAGGTGAGGGCATGCAATTCAGAGTTAAGTGACCACAGCAACCACAGTAACCAGACAATGGGGGAAAAATGAAATCGCTCCCACAACATGGTGAAGGTGTGCAAGCAAGAATATTCCACGGGCCGTAAGGGAAATAAACCAGACTCACATGTGTGAACGTACTGGCTCCCTAGTGTAAGAAACTCAAGAAGTAAATAAGGCCTAAAAAGTACAATCGATACTGTGGAAGAGAAAGAAACTGCTCTAAAGGAAAGAAAAATTGGGAGGGGGAGGGGAGAAAAGAAGGAAAGGAAATTATACACACACACACACACACACACACACACACACACAAGATAGCTAAGATAATTGTATTACCAACTTCTATTAGTTCACTGAAAGAAACTGTTAATTTTTATATTGTTTGATCAATCTTACATTCCTATCTCTTCAATCTCAGCAACAACTTTGAAGATAACAATATACAACATAATAACCATGGTTAATGTCCTATCATCTTGTTTTGAAATTTTATATTGTTTTGATTAATTTTTCTCTCTCGGGGCCAGGGAGATGGCTCAGTAGAATAAGCGCTTCCCTGGCAAGCGCAAGGGTCTGAGTTCAATCCCCAGTTTTACCAAAAAAACCCTCTTTTTCTCTCTTTAAAAGAATAAAAAAAAAAAAAAAAGAATATTCCACCAGACCATGCATGGGTAATAAAAAACCTGAACTTGAAACAGGCATGTGCTGGATTCTCCTCTCAGGAGTAACTTTGGCAAAT